AAGCCCTCTTCGGCATCACCTCGTCCAGCTTCTTGCTAGCGGCCTCGAACCCCGCCTTCGTGCTGAGGTTGTAGCCGTTCTCGACGCTGATCCGCTCCATGCTGAGGCCGATGTTGGTGCACTCGTCGGTCAGCATGCTGTTGGGATGGCAGCAGATCTCCACTGCCTCGGTGATCGTACCCACGGTCATGGCCAAAGCCAGCCCTGCGAGTAGTGTCCTGCGGCGTCCGGCCGCCAGAAGCTGTCTCGGCACCCGGCTCAGACTGGCCCGGGTACTGGTTCGGCCATCTGGACCTTGCGCCTGGGATTCGATGCCCCCAACATCTCCAGCAGCGCGTCCGGCGTGTGTCGGATCTCGGTCCCGGGGAGCCTCCGAAGTGAGGTGGCGATGTTGATCATCGCGGTCACCTGCTCGTGATTGGCCGTCTCCCACAGGTTGCAGTGCCGCACCAACTCCAGGCCGGACTCCACCAACTTCGGATGCTGCATGCTGAGGTTCGTCATCGGCGCCTTCGCCGTCGGAACGTAGAGCAACCTCAGCCCGCACCGATAGCAAGTCCTGGTCTGGCCCCACTGGTTGTTGACCGTGAAGTACTTGCGATGCGTCTGCCCGCACGGTCCCCGTGTGGTCCTCGGATCGCGGGGGTCCACCTGCAGTGCGAACGCCGGGTCCAGCTCCATCTGCTTCTCCTTCTTGCGACCCTGGTGCGCGTTGCCCGGGTCTCTCTCCTTGACCTTGCCCTCCGAGGTGACATACTCCATCTTCTGGCCGTTGAAGACGAACTCCCGCTTGACCTGGGTCGTAGGTCCGGAGCTCGCTGCCGCCGAAGGTGACTTTACCTCCGGGCCCTCCTCCTTCTTGTCGGCATCTATGTCGACAGGTACCCATTCGTCCTTGCCCTCCATGGAAACGCTCTGACTGAAACGTCGGCTTGCGGATTGCCGAAATCCGCTCTGAGCGAGTTCCAGAGCCAAAAGACGGCGGAGGATGGGATGACCATGATGGAGCTGCTCTCCCTGTTATGGTTGATGGAGGTGATGTTGCTGTTATCAATGATGGTGTTGTCGTTAGGGCCGTATATACTGATGATGGTGTCGTTCTCATCTGAGATGATGCTGATAATGTCGTTCTTGTTTGAGATGGTGCTGATAAAGTCGTTCTTGTCCGAGATGATGCTGATAATGTCGTTCTTGTCTGAGATGATGCTGGTGATGTCGTTCTTGTCTGAGATGATGCTGATGGTGGTGATGTGGTCTTTGTCATCGACCATCTCTGAAACGCCCTTGCAAGACCCTCGGTGTTTTCCGCGGTCGGGTTTAAAATATCGGAAACGTGCTTCACCAGGTCGAGGATGCAATGGCCCTTGCCTGGAGTCTTGCGAAGCTGCACCAGTTGACCCCTGATCACAGCCTCCCCGGTTCGGAAATTCACGATTGCCGGCCACGACTCCAGATCTCGAGCGGTCATTCCCAACAGAACGAGAGGCACGCCAGGACTAAGAGCGAAAATACCCAGAACGAAGCCCGGCTCGAACTCGACCGAAACCTTATACAGTGCTCTGCCCCACTTATTGTCTCCGAAACGAAACCACGGTCTTTCATTTTTGTTGATCTCGATCCTGGCCTGTGGGTTCGCAGCCGCAACGGCGGCAACCAGGGCCTGGACTGCGCGCTCGCCTCCGGCGGACGCGGAAGCCCCGCAATCAACCATGGCCTCAGAAGGGGCGAGGCCGCTGTCGTTCAGCTCCGCCTGGTACAGACCCTGGAGCTCGTCAAACCCGTGCGTGATCGTGTGGAACTCCAGGTAGTTCGCATTCTTGCCCTTCTGGTCGTGGTCCCTGTCGCGGTACTTGCTGCCTTTGCCGCCCTTGCTGCCCTTGCTGCCCTTCGGGCCTCGACCACCGAATGGCGGTCTCGAGGGCTGCTGGTGTGGCCACGACGGGGGAAGGCGACTCTTTCCTCCTGGACTCGATGATGGCTTGCCAAATCCTCGATCTTTGTGAGCGGCGGCCACTGCTTGCCTGGCTTGAACCAGCGTACGTGAAGCCTCTGCTGCCATCGCCTGGGCCGCCTCGAGCTCCTCGTTGAGATGGTTGAGATCCTCGTCCATGGCCTCGGACTCCTCTGGCTCTGAGGCGAGCTGCGGCTCCTCCACGACGTCGTAATCGTCCTCGTTCTCGTGGTGGTCGTAACCGTCGTTCTCCCACGCCTGAACTGCCGCTGCGTAGCCATCGTACCAGTCTGGTCCGCGTACTTCGTCAAGCTCTGCAACGAGGGCCGACTGAGGGCCTGACTCCGGGCCGTACCGAGGCATAGCCCTCGGTCCGAAGTCTCGCTGCACCAGCGCCTTGTCCTCCCATCTCTCCTTCAAAGCCTTGGAGATTGCATCGAAATCCAAGCGATTCTGCGTGACCACGCGGACGTCCTGCTTCTCCTTCTCGGTGAAGTCCATAGCCTCGAGCAGGAAGAATCCGCGGAGGACCTTCAGAACTCCCGAAGCGTGGCCGAAAAACGTAGAGCCCACTGCCATCGCCTCCGAAACCTTGAGCTTGCTAGCCATGGATTCTTGTCGGTGAAAACGTTCCGTTCTCGAGATCTGCGAACGAGATGTGATCGACTGTCGTTCGAGCTCATCTGCTTCTTCTGCTTCCTCAGCGGGGGCATCATCTGCTGCTGAGGGCGCCGACGCGTCGGGGCTGGGCTCCCAGTGGTCCCAGCACCTCTGGCAGTACCATTGTCCGCGTCCAGCTGCGCCACGGTCGCTCTCGAAGTAGCCGCAGCACTCCCGGCACTGCTTGTACTTGTCGTTGTCGCCCATCTCCTCCAGGAGGCGCTCCAGCGCCTGGACCATTTCTGAGTAGCAGTCCTGCTCTCTGATCAGGAGCGCGCCCACCGTCTCGCCCTTGCGGCGCTTGAAATCCTTGTAGTAATGCTTGATCTTGTGGGCGGCGTCCGGAATCGGAAGCTTCCCAAGCGGGCTGCTCCTCAGGTCGTCTAGGAGGAGGATGTGGCCATTCGGATTCTCATATCTGTCCGGATCCAGCGTGGTCGCAAACGTCCTGATGGCGATCGTCTTACTCTGCAGCATGCGACCAATGATCCGGTTCGCCGCCAGGTCCCTCTCTTGTCTTTTGAGAGTGCGAGGGAACCATTTCACAGCCGTCTCGAAATGACGCCAACGCCCTGGGTTGCCATCCCATTCGGGAATGGCATCCTTGGACTTCTTGTCGTCCCCCTGCATGGTGTTCTGGTCCCTTCAGGAGTGCCAGAACTTGTCCGTGGATCTAGCTCCGCTATACCAATGTCGTGATTACCGTCGACGATGTACTCTGCACGATGAGATGTGCTGCGCTCGTCCGTCGAGCATCTGGCGCCGGCCCGTGCCGGCGAGCGTGTCTGCCGCGCTCTCTGCACAAAAGAGGGGGCCCCCTCCTCGATCCCATACAGCCGCGGAGGCGGCGGCAAAAGAGAGAGTGAGAAAGGAGAGGTTGACTCAAAACTTCGCTCGAGTCGCCTCGGCTCGACAATAATGATGATGATGCTGAGTATGATGATGATGATGCTGATGATGATGATGATGATGATGATGATGATTTTCCCAACGCCATCAGAGCCAAGCAAACAAGGATAACTTTCGCCTTGCAAAAAGTGTGTGTGCGGTAGGAGGCTCGACGCAGAGGTCCGAGCACCGTGTCTACACCATACGGGGGAAGGTCGATCTCAGTCCCGACGTGTGGTAAGGCGTGTGCAATTCACTCGAAACGCGTGATGCTAAGAGTTTCGGGGTGCTGCAACAGCGATGCCCGAGCAGTGGCGTGAGGTGACACACCAGGGAGTATACGAGATGCAAAGACAAAAAAGCCGTGACTCAGTCGACTTCGCCATCTTCGATGCCTAGTCTGCGGCGTCCTCGGCCTCTTCAAGAGGAGGCAGATCTTTGTCTTCCCCATGGCCGTCGTCGTCTTCATCACTGAGGCCAAGCGTGAGCATGCGGTGAAAGTACCCTGCGAACGGCTCGTCCAGGATGATGCCAGAGATGAGCAGGGATGTGTCGCGCAGAGGCCAGAGCAAGTCTTTGTGTGTCTTGTCGGACTTGTCTGCGGACGCCTTCTTCGTGAGCTCAGTGGTGATGGAGTGCGTGGGGTTGACGTCCTTGATCTTCTTGGACACCGTGTAAAGGAGCATGGAGTTATACCTGAGAGCCTGCGCTGGCATGTTACGCTCCATGTTGGCGGACCAGTCATACTCGAGGGCCGTCTAGGTCTTCGACTTGAGCTTCTTGCCGTCGAACTCCGTAAACAGCTGCATGGTGTAGTTATCAATGAAAGCGGTCGTTAAGAGGAACTCGAGGCCCCTCGTAGACAGCAGTTCCAGGAGGGGATAGGACGACACCACTGCGTTGATCTCCCCCGTGTTGGAGTAGCTGCCGTTCTGCCTCTCCCCCTTGCGGTCGACGTACTCCTTCAGGCTGGTCGTCTCGTCTCTGGACTTCGATGTATGATAGCGCATAAGCTCCGCGACCTTGGAGCGGGTGGTGGAATCCTCGTGGACGCCTTCAGACTTCTGAAGGCACTTGATGCCGAGGTTCTTCTGGATCATGCACAAGATCTGGTTCTGCCTCATAGCGTCGCGGAAAGTGTTGAGCGGCAGGTCCTCGAAGTCGGCAACGTCCGTGACGAAGTTGAGCCTTGCGGGCATCAGCTCGTCGCAATCGTCCATGTGGAAGACGCTCACGCCACGGGTGCTCCAGGGCCGCGGAGCACGCCCGGAATCCTAGCACCACGCTGACATGCTCGGCCCTCTGCCTATCGTGTTGGGAATGAGAGAATGCGCGGATGGAGGCCGCTGCGTCTTCGTCTCGAGCCCAGATGGCGGCCTTTGATGATGATGATGATGATGATGATGATGATGATGATGATGATGATGATGATAATGATGATGAGGACGAGGAGGAGGAGCAGGAGGAGGAGCCAGGCAAACAAGGGCAAACAGTGCGGAGCGATCCTGCAGCGCTCTGCGCAGCCGGGAGCCCATCGCGGCGGCCTCCTCGGCGACCGCTGGGGGGACGTAGATTTCCTCGGCGGCGAAGCCGCGCCGCGCCAGCGCGGAGACAAAGAGGGCCTCCCGGGGAAGGGCAGGGCTGGGTCCTCCTCGGTCGGCCTTCACTCATTCCTTTGCTTTATGAACAACTTCTCCCTGTCGCACCCCGAGGCCGGTCGAAAGGGCGGGCCGGGCGTTTCGCCTAAGACTTCATCACTTCCCTGAAGCTAAAAAATTGGCAACGGTTTCGCAGATTGAGGGCGGGCCGTTTTCAAAATGTGGCTCTCGCCTCAGCGCCGCGCACATTCGCATAAAAATGCAAGAGCTTCATGGATTGAGAGCGGGTGGTTTTCAACATCTGGCTCTCGCCCTAGCGCCGCGCACATTCGTGTTTAAATTTGCAAGAGTTTCACGGATTGGGGGCGGGTGGTTTTCAAAATGTGACTCTCGCCCTAGCGCCGCGCATTCTCGTGTTAAACATTGCACGAGTCTTCACTGATTGAGGGCGGCTCATTTTTTGAATGTGCCTCTCGCCTTAGCGCCGCGCGCGGTCTTTCTTACAGCCTGCAAGAGTTGCACGGATTCCCATGGCGAACGTACTAGAAATAGCGTTTTGGAAAGATTCAGGGCTATAGAGGTGCAACAGTTACATTGGTTCGCGGTGTTGAGGTCCCAAGATTGGCGCTCTGGCACGATGCAGAATCGTCGAGACGCAACAGTCATGTTGATCCGTGGCGTTGGAATCCAGAGAATAATGTTTTGGCATGGCTCAGGGTCTTCAAACGGTTGTCTTCCAACGAGTCAGTTCCCTCAGTGGGAGTGAACCCTTGTAGGGGTCTATGAAGCGGGAGCTTGGAGGGAGGGCTTATTCCGACATCGTTGATGACTCTTGGGTTTACAACACTGGTCCTCCTCATCCACCTCCTTCTCCTCCTCTTCCTCCTGCTCCTCCTCCCTTTGATGCTTGCTTATATGGTTGCTTTCACAGCCCTGCTTGTCTGGAGCTGGCAGACTCATTGAAGGTAGAGACTCCAAGCCAGGGGTCGACAGCATCGGTCCTCACTAGACTACGGGCAACTTCACCCGCTCTCGGCGAAGAGGAATCCAATCCTCCCTCTGACGTCTGCCGTTGCCCTTCTCAGTTTTCGGCGGCGAGCGAGGGGTGGAAGTGTGAAGGGGCGGGCCTGCCCAGAAGGCTCGGACGTCCCCCGGCCCTCCGAAAAGTTCTTCCGACATCGTTGATTCTTGGGTCTGCGCTGGACCTCCTCCTCCTCCCTCCTCCATTTCTTCCTTCGTTTCCTCGTACTCGCCCTCGTCCTCCTCCTACTCCTCTTCCTCCTCCTCCTCCTCCTCCTCCTCCTACTCCTCCTCCTTCCCACCTCTTCTCCCCACCGCTCCTCCCCCCTCCCCCTCTTCGTCCTCCTGTTCCTCCTCCTAAGTACCCTCCTCCTCCCCTCTCTCCTCCTCGTCCTCCTCCCCCTCCCATATTCCCACCCATCGTCGCCATCTTTCTCCTTTCCCTCCAACTTCACCACCACCCTCCTCCTCCTCCTCCTCCTCCTCTCCTCCTCCTCCTCTCCTCTCCTCCTCCTTCTCCTGCTCGTCTCCTCCTCCTCTCTCCTCCAACTTCACCTCCACCTCCTGTCCCCTCCTCCTCCTCCCGTTCCTCCTCCTCCTCTCCTTATCCTCTCTCCTCCTCCTCCTCCTCTCCTGATCACCATCATCATCACCACCACCATCATCAATCATCATCATCCTCATCATCATCATCATCATCATCATCATCATCATCATCATCATCATCATCATCATCATAATCATCATCATCATCACCATCATCATCATCATCATCATCATCATCATCATCATCAGCATCATCAACATCATCATCAGCATCATCATCAGCATCATCAACATCATCATCGTCATCCTCGTCTTAGTCCTCGTCCTCCTCCACTTTGTTGTCCTCCTCCTCCCTTTCTCCTTCTCCTCGTCCTCCTCCTCCTCCTTCTCCTCCTCCCCCTCCCCCTCCTCCTCCTCCTCCTCCTCTTCGTTAGCCTCCTCCTCCTCTTCTTCCTCCTGCTACTCCTCCTTCTCCTCCTCCTCATCCTCCTCCTCCTCCTCCTCCTCCTCATTTGCTCAGCCACCCCCTCCTCGCGTTCCTCCCATCCTCCCCTCCATGATCGCTTCCATCGCTTGTCCCTATTCCCCAAAATGGTTTGCACTTATTCAGAGGCCCCTACTTCTTTTCAAAAGAACTGGGCCTGCTGGCGGTATGGCGGATCCGTGTTCGCGGTCGCCGCCCCGTCGCCGTCTCGTCACAGCCCGTTGCCTGGCCCTGGCTGGGGTTTGGCAGTTCCGTGTTCGCCGTCGCACCCCCATCGTCGCCGTCGCCGCCCCGTCGCGGTCTCGCATGGATTGCACCGCGTAGATTGCAACACCTAATCTGCACCAAATAGACTGCACAACATAAATTGTGCCACGTTGGCCGCCCCGTCGCCGCCTCGCATAGCATAGATTGCACAGCAAGGATTGCACCGCAAAAATTACACCACATAGCTTGCACCACATACATTGCACCCACCACATAACGGACACTACATAGTTTACTCCTGCTATGTTGCTTCACATCGGTTACGTCGCATAGCTTACACCGCACGTGTTGCATCACATTGACTGGGGCCCACGGTGGCAGACATAAACAACTCCTCCCTGTCCCACCCCAAGGCGCGTCGGTAGGGCGGGATGGGCGTTTCGCCTAGGACTTCCTCGCCACTGATGATTCTAAGGCTGAAAACTTACAAGACCTTCCTGGATTGAAGGAGGCTCGTTTTCAAAATGTGGCTAACGCACGAGCGCCGAGCACAGTCGTCTTACAAATTTGCAACAGGTTCAGGGACGGAGGGCGAAACGTTTTCAAAATCTGCCTCTCGCCTCAGCACCGCGCGCGTTCGTCTTAACAGTTCGCAGCCGCTTCAAAAGTGAAGGGCAAGTCGTTTGCAAAATCTAGCTCTCGCCTCAGCGCCGCGCATTTTCGTCTAAACAGTTTCAAGGATGGATTGCGGGCCGTTTTCAAAACATGGCTCTTGACGTATTGCCGCGCACATTCGTCTTAAGCGATATATCAGGCGCCGAGCGGCGAGCATCGAGCGCCTGGTAATCCAGCGTGGCAGGCGGAGCATTCCTTATCTAGCGGCCGTGGCGGATGATGCGTGGGGGTGAATGCGATGACATGTGACGATGAACGACGATATGTCGCCATCGTGAATGAATGACTCTGCGGTACCTCGGGCGCCGCGCGGCGAGCATCGAGTGCATGGCACTCCGGAGTGGCAGGCGGAGCATTCCTTATCTGGCGGCAATGGCAGATGATGCGTGGGGGCGAATGCGATGACATGGGACGATGAACGACGATATGTCGCCATCGTGAATGACTCTGCGGTACCTCGGGCGCCGCGCGGCGAGCATCGAGTGCATGGCACTCCGGAATGGCAGGCGGAGCATTCCTTATCTGGCGGCAATGGCAGATGATGCGTGGGGATGAATGCGATGACACGGGACGATGAATGACGATGAGTCGCCATCGTGAATCACTCTGCGGTATTTCAAGCGCCGCGCGGCGAGCATCGAGTGCCTGGTACTCCGGCGTGGCAGGCGAAGCCTTCCATATCTGGCGGCGATGGCGGATGATGCGTGGGGGCGAGTGCGATGACATGGGACGATCAATGACGATGAGTCGCCATCGCGAATCTCACCGCGGTACTCCAGGCGGAACGCGCGGCGAGCATCGAGTGCCTGGTAATCTGGCGTGGCAGGCGAAGCCTTCCCTATCTGGCGGCAATGGCGGATGATGCGTGGGGGCGAGCGCGATGACATGAGAAGATGAATGACGATGAGTTGCCATCGCGAATCCCTTTACAGCTTTACAAAAGTTTCGTCACGAATTGACATTTAAACATCTTGCGCTGGCAAGGCAAAATCCCCCCCCTGTGGGATTGCTAAAACCGCGTTCTTTTTTCCTGCCGGGATTTTACAATAAAAGCGTATGCTATCATATCCTGGGAAGAAATCCGGGGTTTAGAAATCCCGAATCTTTTATCCGACCTGCATCATCTTGACGCCTCCATGAAACGTGACGAACTTCTGTAAGGGCGTGGTAAAGCTTGCAGCAGTTTCAAAGATGCGTAGGCACGATATAGTATTGCGTCAATACATGAAAGTCACGGTGATTCGCGGAGTTGACTTCCTAGGAACGGCGTTCTGGCACGATTGCGAACTAGCAGGACGCAACTGTCACGTTGATCCGCGGCGCTGGAAGTCTCAGGATCTGTGTTTTGACACGATTGGTGATTATCAGACGGTGGTCTTCTAATAGGCCGCTTTCAGCACTGACACGAAATCCCCTGAGGGAAACATGAAACGGATACTTATAGGCACGGTGTATTGCATAATCATTGATGCGTCTGGGGCTGTTAAACTGGAAATCCTCATCCTCCTCCCGCTCAGCCTCCTCCATCTCTTCCCCCGTGCCTGCTCCTTGTAAATAGTTCTTCCCTGCCACACCCCCAGACGCGTCGGTAAGGCTGGCCGGGCGTTTCGCCAGAGACTTCCTCGCCATTTATGATCCTGAGACTGACAATTTACAACGGCTTCAAGGATTGAGGGCGGGTCGTTTTCAAAATGTGGCTAACGCATTAGTGACGCGCTCATTCGTCTTAACAGTTTGCAACGGTTTCACGGATGAAGGGCGGGAGGTTTTCAACATGTGGCTCTCGCCTCAGTGCCGCGCACGTTCGTCTTAACAGTTCGCAACAGCCTCAAGGATTGAGGGCGGGCCGTTATCAAAATAAGGCTCTGGACGTACCGCCCATGCCCATTCTTTTCGAAAGTTCGCAATGGCTTCAAGAATGGAGGGCGGGCCCTTTTCAAAATGTGCCCGTCGCCCTAACGCCGCGCACATTCGTCTTAAAAGCTTGCAGCAGTTTCAAGGACGCGTGTGCACGGCATAAGATTGCCAGCACATGGAAGTCACGATGATTCGCGGTGTTGGCATCCCAGGAACGGCGTTCTGGCACGATTGCGAATCATCAGGACGCAGCTGTAACGCTGATCCGCGGCGCTGAAAGTCCCAGGATCTGTGTTTTGACACGACTGGTGGTTCTCGGACGGTGGTCTTATAATGGGTCGCTTCCCACAATGACAAGACATCGCTTGAGGGACCTATGAAGCGGGTACTTGTAGGCACGGTGTATTGTAACATCGTTGATGCTTCTTGGTTTATCACTGGTCATCCTCATCCTCTTCACCCTCCTTCTCTTCCTCCTCCATGCCTTTTTCATTGTAAATCACATCCCCCTGTCGCACCCCCAGACGTGTCGGCAGGGCTGGCCGGGCGTTTCGCCTGAGATTTCCTCGCCATGCATGATCCCGAGACTGAGCATGTACAACCGCTTTCAAGGATTGAGGGCAGGTCGTTTTCAAAATGAGGCTGACGACTTAGCGGCACAAACATTCGTACTAAAGACTGGCAACGGCTTCACGGATGAAGATCGGGCCGTTTCCAAAATGCAGCTCTGGCCAGCATGCCGCACACCTTCGCCTTGAAAACTCGCCACCATCTTCACGGGTGGAGGGCGGGTCGTCTTCAACAGGTGGCCCTGGTCCTACAACCCCGTGCGAAAAGCAACTGGGGTTTGGTGAGCCCCCCGGCCCCCGAATTTCAATGTTCATCGTGCGACCAGCGAAGTTCGAAAAAAAAATCGACCCCGCGTTGAACATTGAAATTGGGGGGTCGGGGGGGGGAGGTGTGTACGAAAACCCCAGTTGCTTTTCGCACGGGGTTGTAGCGCCGCGCACATTCGCTCTAAAATCATGCCTGTGCAACAACTTCAAGGACGGAGGGCGGCTCCCTTTCAAAACGTGAATCCCCCCTCGGCGCAGCGCACAGCCGTGGTAGAGTTCGCAGCAGAATCACTGAGCCGTAGCGCTGGAGTATCACAAGCGGTCGCAGGACAGGATGTAGGATTGCCAAGACGCAACGGTCACAGAGGTTCGAGGTGCAGAAGACCCTGGAGTGTTGTTGTTGCTGCTGCTGTCGTTGTTCTGGCACGGCCTAGACTTCTCAGGACGCAGCTGTCACGTTGATCCGCGGCGCTGAAATTCCAAGCACGGTGTTTTGGCACGACTGAAAATTTTCAGACGGTTGTCTTCTCATGAGCTACTTCCCACAATAACGAGACATTCCTTCAGGGACCTATGAAACAGAAGCTTGGAGGGAGGGTTGATTGCAACACGGCCACTGAATATTGGGTTTGCACTGGTCCTCCTCCTCCTCCTCCGCCTCCTCCGCAGCATCATCCTCAGCATCATCATCATCATCACCATCATCATCACCACCATCATCATCATCATCATCATCATCATCAGCAGCAGCAGCAGCAGCATCATCATCATCATCATCATCATCATCATCATCATCATCATCATCATCATCATCAGCAGCATCAGCATCATCATCATCATCATCATCATCATCATCATCATCATCATCATCATCATCATCATCATCATCATCGTCATCATCATCATCATCACCACCATCATCATCATCATCATCAACATCATCATCATCATCATCATCACCACCACCACCACCATCATCATCATCATCATCATCATCACACTCCCCCGTCTTTTCATCATTACCTCCTTCTCATCCTTCCCCTCCTCCCCAACAAGCTCCTCCTCCTCCTCCTCCTCCTTCTCCTCCTCCTCCTCGTCTTGCTCCTCCGCCTCCTCCTCCTCCCCCTCCTCCTCCCCCCCGCATCCTCCTCCTTCCTCCTTCCCCCTCCTCCTCCTCATGCCCCTCCTCCTCCTCCTCCCTCCTCCTCCTCCTCCTCCTCCTCCTCCTCCTCCTCCTCCTCCTCCTCCCCCTACACATCCCCCTAATCCTCCTCCTCCTCGTCCCCTCCTCATCGTTTGGTTCCTGCTCCTCCCTTTTCTCCTGCTCATGCTCCCCCTTCTCCTCATCGTGCCCTTCGTTTCATTATCCTGCTCCCGCTCCTGCTGCTCCTCCTCCTCCTCCTCCTCCTCCTCCTCCTCCTCCTCTCCTCCTCCTCCTCCTCCTCCTCTTCACACTCCTCCGCCTCCTGCTCTTCCCCCTCTTCCTTCTCCGCCTCAACGGAAATCCGCAGACATCCAGAGACCTGTGGGGGCCGCCGCAGGGACCTCCGAGGACCTGCGATCGGCCCCTCCTGGGCAGAGCCTCCCCCTCGCCCCGCCCCCATGCCCCCCTTGCGCCCCTGCTGCGTCGGGCGGGCGGGCAGAAAGGGTCGCACACCATGCCTTTACCTCGGCCCTGGGGAACCAAGCGTCTATCGATGATTGGCACAAAGGCTGCTATACTGCCGCGGCAAGCCGACCGATCTCGCCACCCCCCGCCCGCTCCTGCCCGACTCTCAGCTCCGGCATCACGCACACCACCTCGCCGTGCTCGGCAAGGAGGGCGTCGATGCAGCGGGCCAGCACGGGCGCCACCTCCCCCCTTGCCCCGCGAAGTCGCCTCCTCCCCCCTCCCTCCCGACCTTCCTCCCTCCTTCCTCCATCCTCCTCCCCCATCCCCCCCCCCCTTCCTCCCTCCTCATCCTCCCTCACTCCTCTCCCCGCCCCTCCTCTCTCCACCCCCTCCTCCTCCTCCTCCTCCTCCTCCTCCTCCTCCTCCTCCTCCTCCTCCTCCGCCAACGCTAGCAACCAGCCGGCCGCCGCGCGACGGACCCTCCTTTTGTCGAAAAACAAGCCCTCCAGCACGGGTGCCACCATCGGAGACCCCCTGGATTGAGGTCTGGAAGGTGCCCGAGAGTGCGCGGATGCTGCCAGCGCTCAATTCTTAAGATATCCCGGAGGGGTGGTGAGCAAAGAATGCACAGTCCCTAGATCATTCCAGATCAGAGTGGAGGAGACCATGGCCCATGCGACTCTCTTGAGCGTGAGAAGCACACTGGAAAGCAGATCTCTTTTTCTGCTCCTCCCCCCTCCCCTGTGTGGATTGACTGTTAAATGACATATCGCGCGATGCTCTTTTCCAGCTATAGGCCCATGACATGCGTGACAGGGCGCAAAATGCGTGGCCATCGAGCCCTGCCTTGAGCGCCAGCCCAAACCCGGAGCACCCTCCCCAGCGAGCGTGGGGTGAGTGTGCGTGTAGTGCGCATTGGGTGGTAGGGTGGGGCGTGTGGGCGGGGCGTGTTGGTGGGATTGGGTTGGCGGGGGTGCGGGCGGCGTGCGGAGAATGGTGGTGTGGGAGAGGGTGGGTTAGTGGGGAGAGTGGTGTGGGGCGAGGGAGATGGTGCTAGGTGGGCGGGGAGCCCCCTCCTCCACCTCCTCGGTGCACACGCCGTCGGCGATCAGCACCACGTCCCACCGCCGCCGCGGCCCCGCGCCGCCGCCGAGCCCGAGCGGCGGGGCGGCGCCACCAGGCAGCGGCGGGCCGGCCGGCACGGCAGGGGCCTTCGCAGGGCGTGGAGAGGAGGGAGGGAAAGGAGCAGCGGGGAGGACGGGGGACAGGAAAGCAGGAGGAGGAGGAGGAGGAGAAGCGCAACGAATTACCCCAAGGAGAGTTCGCCACCCTGAGAGGGACCTCTGACATAGGGGCCCAGCCGAGCCATTGCCCTGGCACGCCCCCCTTTGCTACCTCAGTGACTGAGAGGAGGAGGAGGAGGAGGAGGAGGAGGAGGAGGAGGAGCAGGAGCAGGAGGATGAGGATGAGGATGCGGGTGATGATGATGATGATGATGATGATGATGATGATGATGATGATGAGGAGGAGGAGGAGGAGGAGGAGGAGGAGGAGGAGGAGGAGGAGGAGGAGCGCCCGTGGCTCCACAGGCGTCGGGAACTCTGGCCGCAGGCCGCCGCCGGCAACACCCAGATCATCCGAGCGGATCAGTTGAGCTTGAATCTTGAATCGGACGGGGGGAAGAGGCAGAGGAAGACGAGGGATGGGGGGAGAAGGAGGACGAGGAGGACGAGGAGGACGAGGAAGACGAGGAGGAGGAGGACGAGAAGGAGGATGGAGGAGGAGGAGGAGGAGGATGAAAGGAGGAGGAGGAGGACCAGGTGGATGATGATGATGATGATGATGAGATGATGAGAGGAGGAGGAGGAGGAGGAGGAGGAGGAAGGAGGAGGAGAGGAGAGAAGGAGGAAGCGGGGAGAAGCGGAGGAGAAGGAGAAGGAGGAGGAGGAGGCCGACGCGGCGGCGCTGGACGCTCGGCAGCGAGGGCGGCACCGAGCCCGGCGGCGAGGGCGGCAAAGGAGGGCGGCGGCCTGCGGTGTCGCCCACGGCGCGGGCGCGGCGCGCTCGCGCCGGGCGGGCGGCGCCGGCGGGAGCGGGGGCGCCCCCGCGGCCACGTCCTGCGGGGGGCGGCGCCGTGGCCGCAGCGGCCGCGGCCGCGGCTTCGCCGCCGCCGCCGTCGTCGCCGTCGGCGCCGTCGTCGCCGTCGCCGTCGCCGTCGCGGCCGCATCCTCCGCCAACCTGGTCGTCGTAGCCGTCGCCGCCGCCGTCGTCCGCCTCGGGTCAGGGAGAGAGGGCGGAGGAAGACAAGGAGCAACCCCTCCCCCCCCCCCCTCCTCCTCCCCTCCTCCTCCTCTCCTCCTCCTCCTCCATTCCTTCTCCTCCTTGTTCTCCTTCTCCTCCTCTCCTCCTTTCTCCTCCTCCTCCATCCTCCTCCTTGTCCTTCCTCCTCCTCCTCCTCCTCCTCCTCCTCCTCCTCCTCCTCCTCCTCCTAAGCAGCAGCAGCATCCTGCTCTCCTAATAATTCCTTATCCTCCGCATCCTGTTTCTCCTTCCCCTCATTCGGCCTCCGTCTCCTCATGCTGCCTCCTACTCCTCGGTCTCCCCAGCCCCCTCTTCTGTTCATTCGTTTCCTGCATCATCTCCCCATCCCCGCTCGCCTCATCGATGGGTGCGGGGTGGGGGGAGAATGACGCATCACCCTCGTCGTCATCATTACCCCGTTCCTCAGTCATGATCATCAGCATCAGCATCATCGTCATCATCATCATCGTCAGCCTCAGTATCCTAAGGGCCCTTCTCATCGTCCTGCTCCTGGTCAAAGTGGACAAGGCCCGCTTCACAGGGTGAACACTTGGCCAAGGAAAGAACAACCGTAAAATGGAACCGACATTGTGGGGTCTGGCATAAACGGTGAGGGGGGGAGATTGCGTCTTCCTGGGTAGAGGGGCCCAATGACCGTCGACCGCTACATAGGATTCAGGGTGGCAGGTCTCCCAAGTGTGACGCGCGCGTCAGTGCGTGCGGGAATGGAGAGCAGCGCCGAAAAGATCGCGGCAGCCCATGGGCCCCCTTGCCTGGCAGACCCGGCGTCGCAGATCGTGCGCCTCCGGCGCAGCGACCGTCTACACCAGTGTGAGCGCACGGGATGCAGCAACAGAAGACAGGAGCACGAGGCTCCCCTTCCGGTCGCCCGCGCCTTGGTGGACACCGAATCTTCGCGGGGGGCACGTCCACTGGCACAGTCTGAGCTCACACCGCCTGCCTCGCCTCGCACCGTGGCGCCCAGGATGCGTGGTGAGGGTGCCAGGGCCTCGGAGGGCCATGCCAAAGACTTTCGAGCGAGGCTGGCCGGCGAAAGGCGCCAAGGGTGGGCCGCAGCGGCAAGGGTGCAAGAGGCAGCCTCTTGCTCAAAGCGGCTCCTCCTCGCTGTGCGGGTGGACCGTAGCGCCGACCTGCTCTGCGCGGCGCCGCGGCGCGGCGCCTCCTCCTCGCCATGCCTCGGCTGCGGGTGGAGCCCAGGGGGCCCGGCGCCGAGGAGCCCGGGAGCGCGACGCGAACCCGCCGGCGGGCCCGGGGAGGCGCAGCCGCGGACAGTCTGTGCTATCAGCGTACCTTTGGTAGCAGGTGGGGGGGGGGTGGGGGGGGGAAGATCGGGGGGGGCGACATGGTAGGATAGCAAAGGGTGGGGCAGAGAAGCAGCTCACGCAGCTGGTTATTCCTGGCGCCTCCCGGCGCTGGGGGGCGCCCACGTATCGAGGAAGGGGCCTGGCGGCGGGGCGGTAACCAGCTGCACGCAGCAGATTTCGTACCCCCCCTCCCCTTTCGCTCTCCCCCCTCTCGTTCGGCCCGAGGGTGGGGGGGCGGGAGAGGTAAGGGACGGGGGACGTGGACAGCCGCTGATCAGCGCACTTCAGGCCGCCCCTCGGTGCAGTGCCAGGGCCCCTGCGTCCAAAGGGGGCCACCTGCGGCCAGAGGGCGCACCACGCCAAAAGAGCAGCACGGAGAGCTGAAACTGCAGAGCCCCGCGCCCGCACGCCGACAGGCACAGCACCTGGGACCTGGGGCGGGCCAGCCCGCTCGGGTGCGCCGCCAGCCCCGCTCCCCCTGACCTTCCAGGAGGGCTAAAAAATAGCACCCGACTTAAACACCTATCCCAAAGCTATTCTACGTCTTGGTTTGGGGCTGTTTCGCTCAGCTTTTTAGGTTTTTAGGTCTCCAGTGCTTAAAAATAGCTCTCTGGAAGGTCAGGGCCCTCGCGCCCACCGCCGGAGCCCGGCGAGAGAGGAGCGGCGCGAGGCGTCCTGCCAGTCGAGCAGCTGGGCGCTCGACGCCGCCGCGTTCCTCGGCCGGCCGACGGGATCGGTGATCCGTCGGGATCGGGATCGGTCCAGGGATCGAGCACACGCGGGAGCGGCCCTGGGCAACGCGGCATGCCGATCGGTGCACGCGGGGCGACAACATAGGTCGGTCGGAAGAAGTAGATAAAAAAACAGGATGTAGGAAGGCAGACGAAGTAGATTTGGCCGAGGCCCTCCCAGAGAACGACAAGACACTGCAAAGCATGCCGATTCTCGAGGTAGGAAGGCGCTAGAAGTAGATTGGGATCTGGGAATCCAAGAATACCTACCTTCAACGACCGGCGTGCAAGTGTGGCAGAAGGGAGGGTCCGAGAGCTGGCAGGGGGGTCCCCAGGGAGGAGGAGGAGGAGCGAAGATAACAGCGCTTCGCCCCGTCCCCCCGCCCGAGCCCTCCCCTGGCCCACACAAACCGCACCCTTAGCATAAGCTTTCGGAAATCCGCGCGGGCTTCGGGCGCTGGACCCCCCTCCCCACACTCCGTCCCATTTTTGCGGAGCGCGCCAGGGGCGGCGCCAGAGGCGCGGCCAGGGCTGAGGGAATCCAAAGCCGACACTCTACAGATCCTCGCCGACTTCCAAAAGTTCACGTTTATGTCATCCCATGGCGCTGCCACAACCTCTCCTCCTCACTCGCAGCCGCCCCCAGACATCTGGAGCCCCGATGCGTTCAAAATACGGACCCCTCGACCTGGGCCCGAGTTTCCGATCCCGAGTCGTCTTTTGGCATCCCGCAGCCCAACACAATGCTCGAGAGACCAACACCCCCCCCCCAAAAAAAAAAGACGCAACAAGTGACACCACCTCGATCTTGTTCGAGCAATCGGGCGTCCAGCATTCGTCGACGGCGGGCGAGGGTGGGAAGTGAGAAGGAGAAGGCCTTCCCAGAAGGCGGCGGGACTTCTCAGAGGCCCTCGCGCCTTCTGAAAAGTGGTCTGCGTCTTCGGGGAAGTCATCGAAAACTTCTCAGAAGGCTGGGGGACTTCCGGGCCTTCTGAGAAGGCCCGCCCCTTCTCACTTCCCCCCTGGGCTCGCCGCCGAATGCGGGCCTCAGATTCGCCCCCTGTACCTCTGCTGCAATCCGTTCTGTAAGGCGCAGCCAGGACGAGGATAAAATCGGGTGAGGATAAATCGAGAATCTCTGGGATCCGGTGGCTCTGAGGGATGTCTCGGGCGCCGCGGCCTTCTTGGAGCGCTCGAGAACGCTCTGAGAGCGTTCCAGAACGCTCTGGAACGGATTGATCCTCGTCCTAGCCCCGTCCGATCTGTGAGGGCCCCTGCCTTCCATCGGGCGGGTGGCCATGGGGGGCGACCTTGATGGGGGGTGGAGGAGGAGGCTCTCATCAGGGCCCCTTTTGTTACCAGCCTCGAACGTACCCCTATCCCTAAGATTGACGCGCCAAAAGGCGATGACAATCTTAGGGACCCGCCCTCAACAAAAATTAGCCTGGCGAAAGACCCAACCATATGCAGTTGTGGGTATCGCATTCGGGGAAGCCCCCTATGGGGCCACGAAACGCTGTACTGGGTGGGGGGGGACGCATGCGAACTGCGCCACTGGGACCTTCGGTGGAGCTCTCTATGGGGCCACGAAACGCTGTACTGGGTGTGGGGAGGACGCATGCGAACTACGCCACTGGGACCTTCGGTGGAGCTCCCTATGGGGCCACGAAACGCAGTACTGGACGCATGCGAACTGCGCCACTGGGACCTTCGGGGAAGCTACCTATGGGGCCACGAAGCGCTGCCCTGGGTGGGGGGGGAGGGGGGGCGCATGCGAACTGCTGCGACTGGGGCCTTAGAGCTCCCTATGGGGTGCCCTGGGTGGGAACCGATGCGGGCTGTGCCACTGGGGGGCTACGAAAGCGCTGTCCTGCTGACCGCATGCGGGCTGTGCGGGGGACTGGGCTACCTTCGGTGGAGCTCCCTATGGGGCCACGAAACGCTGCCCTGGGTGGGGGAACCGCATGCGGGCTGTGCCACTGGGGCCTTCGGTGGAGCTCCCTATGGGGCCACGAAACGCTGCCCTGGGTGGGGGAACCGCACGCGAACACCCCCACTGGGGCCTTCGGTGGAGCTCCCTATGGGGCTACGAAACGCTGCCCTGGGTGGGGGAACCGCATGCGAACACCCCCACTGGGGCCTTCGGTGGAGCTCCCTATGGGGCCACGAAACGCTGCCCTGGGTGGGGGAACCGCATGCGAACACCCCCACTGGGGCCTTCGGTGGAGCTCCCTATGGGGCCACGAAACGCTGCCCTGGGTGGGGAACCGCATGCGGGCACCCCCACTGGGGCCTTCGGTGGAGCTCCCTATGGGGCTACGAAACGCTGCCCTGGGTGGGGGAACCGCATGCGGGCTGTGCCACTGGGGCCTTCGGTGGAGCTCCCTATGGGGCTACGAAACGCTGCCCTGGGTGGGGGAACCGCATGCGGGCTGCCACTGGGACCTTCGGTGGAGCTCCCTATGGGGCTACGAAGCGCTGCCCTGGGTGGGGGAACCGCATGCGGGCTGTGCCACTGGGACCTTCGGTGGAGCTCCCTATGGGGCTACGAAACGTGTGAGGGGTGTGCCGAGAGCAAAGGCAAGGAGGGGGAGGAGGGAGGAGGGCGAGGAGGGGGAGGAGGAGGAGAGGAGGTGGGACGCGGGGCGCTGTCTCTTCAAAACGAGGACCCAACACCACAGGATGGTTGGGAATAAAGGAATCCCTAAGATTGGCCTCGTGATGAGGAGGTGCCCAGCATAGGGATAGGGTTTTTTTGCAATCCTTCAGCATAGGGATAGGGATAGGGATAGGGATAGGGATAGGGTTTTTTACAATCCTGTTTTTTTGCAATCCTTTTTGCAATCCTGTTTTTTTTGCAATCCTTTGTGCATAGGAATAGGGACATGTTCCAGGCTGGTACTTTTGGAGCCAGCCGGGGCCCTCGTCGGGGCCCCTCCAGGGCCCCGATGAAGACCTGGCCTTCGGGCCGCCCCCCGTGACCACCCGCCCGATGGAAGGCCGGGTCGGCGGCGAGCGAAGGATTGCAAAAAAGGATTTGTGTTGCAATCCTTCGGTTTTTTGCAATCCTTCGTTCAAGGGGGGGAAGCGAGGGGGCGAAGGCCTTCGCAGAGGGCTCGGAGGCCCCGCGGCCTTCCGCGGTCGCCTTCGAGGCCTCCCCCGAGGACGCAGAGACCTGCTCAGAGGGCGCGGTGGCCGCTGAGAAGAAGCCCCGTCGCCTTCTGCGAGGCCCTCCTCCTTGTCTCACTTCCCCCCACACATTGCCCGCCGTCGACGAATGCTGGACGCCCGACGGCTCGAACAAGATCGAGGTGTCGTTTGTTGCGTGTTTTGTTTTTTGGGGGTTGTTGGTCTCTCGAGCACTGTGTTGGGCTGCGGGATGCCAAAAGACGACTCGGGATCGGAAACTCGGGCCCAGGTCGAGGGGTCCGTATTTTGAACGCATCGGGGCTCCAGATGTCTGGGGGCGGCTGCGAGTGAGGAGGAGAGGTTGTGGCAGCGCTATGGGATGACATAAACGTGAACTTTCGGAAGTCGGCGAGGATCTGTAGAGTGTCGGCTTTGGATTCCCTCAGCCCTGGCCGCGCCTCTGGCGCCGCCCCTGGCGCGCTCCGCAAGAATGGGACGGAGTGTGGGGAGGGGGGTCCAGCGCCCGAAGCCCGCGCGGATTTCCGAAAGCTGATGCTCAGGGTGCGGTTTGTGTGTGGGCCAGGGAAGGGCTCGGGCGGGGGGACGGGGCGAAGCGCTGTTACCTTCGCTCCTCTTCCTCCCTGGGGACCCCCCCGCCAGCTCTCGGACCCTCCCTTCGGCCACACTTGCACGCCGGTCGTTGAAGGTAGGTATTCTTGGATTCCCAGATCCCAATCTACTTCTAGCGCCTTCCTACCTCGAGAATCGGCATGCTTTGCTGTGCTCTGTCGTTCTCTGGGAGGGCCTGGACCACATCTGCTTCGTCTGCCTTCCTACTTCATGTTTTCATCTACCTCTTCCGACCGACGTGTATTGTCGCCCCGCCGCCGACAGGGAAGGGGCCCTCAGCCCCCCGGGCCCCTCTGTGGAGACCCCTGCCTTCCAGGACCCCCACTGGCTTCTCACGAGGCCGGCCCCCTCGCGCCGCCCACCCCTTGCCGTGCGCCGCCACGTGTCGGTCGCCCCGGGCTCCGGGCCAAATTCGCGGCCGCCGCCTCCACGGCCGACGCGAGGCCGTCGGTCGCGAGGCAGCCGGGGGGGCGGCTGCCACGCGCGCGCGCCAACATCCGCGGAGCACGCCAAGCCCCGCTGGAGGTCATCATCAGCATCATCATCATCATCATCATCATCATCATCATCATCATCATCATCATCAACATCATCATCATAATCGTCATCATCAGCAGCATCAGCACCAGCATCAGCATCAGCATCAGCATCAGCATCATCATGATCACCATCATCATCACCAACGTCATCGTCATCGTCATCACCATCACCATCACTATCACCATCACCATCATCATCATCATCATCATCATCATCATCATCATCATCATCATCATCAACAGCATCATCATAATCGTCATCATCAGCAGCATCAGCACCAGCATCAGCATCAGCATCAGCATCAGCATCATCATGATCACCATCATCATCACCAACGTCATCGTCATCGTCATCACCATCACCATCACTATCACCATCACCATCATCATCATCATCATCAGCACCATCACCAACAACAGCACATCAACATGAAAATCAACATCAACATCACATCATCACCGCCGCCATGCTTCTCTACCCGCCTCATCATCCTAATTATCCTCGTATTCCTGCCTTCCAACTTCCTCCTCCTCCTCCTCCTCCTCCTCCTCCCCTTCCAACGTACTCTATCCTCCTCCTCCTCCTCCTCCTCCTCCTCCTCCTCCTCGTCCTCCTCCTCATCCTCCTCCTCCTTTTCCTCCTCATCCTCCAACCTCCTCCTCCTCCTCCTCCTCCTCCTCCAACCTCCTCCTCCTCCTCCTCCTCCTCCTCCTCCTCCTCCTCCTCCTCCTCCTCCCCCTCCTCCAACTCCTCCTCCTCCGCCTGCTCCTCCTCCTCCTCCTCCTCCTCCTCCTCCAACCTCCAACCTCCTCCTCCTCCTCCAGCTTCCTCCTGGAAAGTGGGCCCTCAGGGCGCGCACGACGCAGAGGCCGCCCCCCGGGGGCAAGGCAGCGCCCCGAGGCGCGCCGCAACGATCGTCGGCAGCGCCGCCAGACCGCAGCCGAGCTCGACGCAGCTGCGGCCCTGCCGCGGGACGACGACGACAACGGCGACGACGACGACGACGACGACGACGACGACGACGACGACGACGCGGCGGCGGCGGCGGCGGCGGCGGCTACAGCGGCGACGGCGACGCGGCGGCGGGAGCGACGGCGACTGCGGCGGCGGCCGCGGCGACGCCAGGCGACGACAGGAGCTGCACGAGGTGCCCGGAGGCTCTCGGACGCGTTCGGGGGGGGCTCGGTGCCGCCTGGGTTCGGAAGCCCTCGGCAGGTTTCTCCGGTGGTTGGGGGGCAGAGCCTGGGGCCTCCCCCTCCTCCTCGTCCTCCTCCTCGTCCTCCTCCTCCTCCTCCCCCTCCTCCTCCTCCTCCTCCTCCTCCTCCTCCTCCTCCTCCTCCTCCTCCACCCCCCTTCCTCTTCCTCCTCAAACTCCTTCGTTTCCTTCTCCTCCTGCTCCGCCTCCTCCATGCAAACAACTCCTCCCCGTCGCACCACTATTCGTGTCGGTAGGATGGGACAGGCTTTTCGCCCGAGGCTCTCTCGCCGCTTGTGACCCTGAAGCTTGAAACTCCGAACAGCCACATGGATGGAGCGCGAGCCGTTACCAATGTGCGACGATCGCCTCAGCACTGCGCCCATTCGAGCTTCCAACATATATATATATATACATACATGCAAAGATACATGTAAACGTTGAGGGCGAACGGATTTCACAATAGACCTCTGGCCTTGGCGCCGCACGCGTTCACTTAATAAGATACCATCAGCAACAAGAATGGAGGGCGAATGGTTTCGAATGTAACGCTGCGCACATTCGTCTTATGAGACTCCAACCGTCATACCGATGGATGACGGCCCCTGTTCTGAATGCAACTATTGCTAAAGTCTTCCTCGATGTGTGAATCAGCACCGTCCTATGCGAACAACATGTGTAACAGCGAACGAATAGAGGGCGGCACAGTGTTAGAACAGCCTCTCGCTGGATACATCCTAGAACTTTACAATCATACCCAACGCGTTCCTCGAAGCTAGAGGATGTAGGGCAGCGCTTGCTCAAAACAGGGCTGTCGCCTGAATCGTAGCCCCATGGTACGATCGTCGTCATGGGGTGCTTATCGTAGTGGCTCGAAATGCTTGCACGGAATGCATGCAGTGACTTACGGAGAACGACATTGGGACGGAAGGATGGTTTGCAGCATCGTTGATGCATCCCAGGTTTACTCATCATTTATCTCTCCATCTTGCCTACTCCTCCCAATCCCTTCTCACTCCACATCCTGTTTCCTCCCCCTCATCTTTCGCCTCCTGCTCATCAGCAGCATCATCATCGTCGTCATCATCATTACCATCAGCATCATCAGCATCATCACAAACACCATCATCACCATCATCATCATCTCCGTCATCAGCATCACCATCATCATCAGCATAATCAGCATCATCATAATCATCATCATCGCCAGTATCAGCACCAGTACCAGCACCATCAGTACATCAATATCATCGTCATCAGTATCATCAGCAGCAGCATCATCAGCATCGACATCCTCATCTGCATCATCATCACCAGCATCATCATCATCATCATCATCAGCAGCATCATCAACACCACTACCAGCAGCATCATCGCCGTCATCAACAGCAGCAACACCATCAGCAACATCATCATCAGCGTCATCACCCGCATTAGCAGCATCATCATGATCATCAGCATCATCCTCGTTATAGCCGTCATCAGCGTCATCATCCTGATCATCACCATCAGCAGCAGCATCGTCGTCATCATCAGCATCATCAGCATCAGCATCATCAGCAGCAGCATCACCATCATCAGCAGTTTCAGCATCACCCTCATCGAAACATCCTGAAGCACCAGAAACGCTCTAGGATCCTGCGCTAACCTCTGATGGGCCTCGCGAACCGCTTCCTCCCCCCATCCTGCCTCATCCCTACACGCCAGTCCATAATTCGTCCCTCCTATTCGCCACCGTGCCGCGAGGCGCGAGGGGAGTTCTCTCCACGTCTTCAATTGTTCTCTGTCCTGGGTCCTGTGTTCTAGTACCCTGGGGCCCCAAATGTCAAAAAGCCCTGGGCGTTCCCGCGCGCTGTTCCCCGCAATGACTTCCCCAGAAGCCAGAGGGCCCCAAAACGGGCCAAGGGGGCTCCAAGTAGCGCCCAAGAGGGCCCGAAAGACCTCCGAGACGGCCCAAGAGCGCTCCAAGACGCCCAGGATGGCCCCCGGACGGCCCAAGAGGTCCCACGGCAGCCCGCGCTCCAAGAAGACCTCCAAAGAGGGCCCCAAAGATGCAATAATCACTCTTTGTTCTTGCGTGTTTCAAGGATTCTCGCGTTCTCGCGTTTTCGGGCTCGCTCCAAGCAAGATAGCCCCCGAGGCCCCCAAGATCGCCCCAAGACGACCCAAGACGGCCCCCAAAGACGGCCCAAGAGGGCCCCAAAACGGCCCAAGGGGCGCCCGAGACGGCCCAAGAGAGCCCCAAGACTGCCCCAAGAAGGGGAACACGAACCGACAATTCGAGCCTTCCGCCCCAAGCAACCCCCAGGAGGCCCCAGGAGGCCCCCGGCCCCACGAGGCTCCAAAGAGGCCCAGAGAGGCCCCCAAACGGCCCTCAGGAGGCTTCAAAACTGCCTCCAAGAGACCCCCGCGATGCCCCCCACGATATCCCAACAAACATCCAAGAGGCCTCGAACACACATCCCAGGAACGGTGGCGGGATGGGCGGAAGGCCACTAGATTTCATCAGAATCATCGTCACCATCACCACCATCGTCGTAATCACAATCACCATCACCATCCTCCTCCTCGTCATCCTCTCCACTTTGTCCTACCCTGGTCCCTCCTCCTCTTCCTCCTCCCCCCCTCCTCCCCTCCTTCCCCTCCTCCCCCACCCCGTGCTCCCTCCCTCTCCCAACCTCCTTCCCTCTCTCCTCCTCCAATCGTCCTCCTCCTTCCCCCTCGTTCTCCCCCCCTCCTCCTCCTCCGCCTCCTCCTCGTCATCCTCCTCCTCCTCCTCCAACTGCTCGTCCCCCTCCTCCTCCTCCTCCTCCTCCTCCTCCTCCTCCTCCTCCTCCTCCTCCTCCTCCTCCTCCTCCTCTTCCTCCTTCCTCCTCCTCCTCCTCCTCCTCCTCCTCCTCCTCCTCCTGCTCCTCCTGCTCCTCCTCCTCCTCCTCCTCCTCCTCCTCCTCCTCCAACTCCAACTCCTCCTCCTCTTCTTCTCCCTCCTCTCCTCCTCTCCTCCTCCTCCTCCTCCTCCTCCTCCTCCTCCTCATCTCACGTTGAGCAACGCGCGCATCCAGGCCCTGCTCCAGCCGCCCTGCCTGCAGCAGCGCGGGCGGCTGCGATGCCAGCCAGGCAGACAGCAGCAGGCCGGAGGGCCAGACGGTCACGCCAGTCTCGGAGCTGCCTCGGGCGGCGCTACCCCTCCTTCTCCATCCTCCTCCTCCACCTTCTTCTCCTCGTTCTTCTCCTCCTCCTCCTCCTCATCGTCAGATTCCCCCTCCTCCTCCTCCTCCTCATCATCCTCCTTCCCCCTCGTCCTCCCCTTCCCCCTCCTCCTCCTGCTCCTCCTCGTCATCCTCCTCCTCCTTGCCCAACTCCTCCTCTCCTCCTCCTCCTCCTCATCATCATCATCCTCCTCATCCTCCTCCTCCTCCTACTCCTACTCCTCCTCCTCCTCCTCCTCCTCCTCCTCCTCCTCCTCCTCCTCCTCCTCCTCCTCCTCCTCCTCCTCCTCCTATTTCCCGTTCTCCTCCACCCAAAGAGGACCTGAGAGAGACACCGAAGAGCACCAAGACGACTCACGAGGGCCCCAGAGGGCGCAGAGAGGCCCCCGCGTGACGGCCGAAGAGAACCTCCAAGAGGGGCCCCAGCCAGCCTAAGAAGCTTCACCCGGGCCCCAAGACGCCCCAGAAGGGCCTTCAAGAGGCCCCGAGGACCACCGGCGAGGCCAGCGGGGGGAACCCCCAAAACGCCCAGGCGCATACAGTGGGCCCGAGCGCATACCTTGGAGGCTCCACAGTGTCCCGAGAGCCTCCAGCAGCGGCCGCGGCAGCTGAGCCAACAGCTGGGCTAGCAGCTGGGCCAGCAGCAGAGCCAGCAGAGGCAGCAGCAGCAGCAGCAGCAGCAGCAGCAGCGGCACAGCAGCAAGCAGCAGCAAGCAGCCAGCACGAGCAGCCAGCACGGCGAGAGGCAACGAGCAGCAGGCTGCAGCAAGCAGCGGAGGACGCAAAGGAAGAAAGGGAGCGGGGAGAGAAGGCGGGGAGGGAAGGAGGAGAGATCAGGGTGGGGATTGGAGGGCCGAGGCTGGAAGGGACGGGAGTAAGAGACAGGGGGGTCAAGAGGAGAAGGATGGAGATGAGGAGCAGGATGACGAGGATGAGCAGGATAACAAAGGATATGTCGACCCCTATTCAGGCTTCGTGGGTTTTCGAATGGACCGAACATTTGGGCCCAAACCCTGGGATATACGATGGGGGGGCGTCCATCCTCGATCTGGATGCGTCCGAATAGCCCCCTTTGGGTGTATCCCAAGGTTGCCTCATTTTTCTGAGTGGTGAAACTTGTCGGGCAAAACCTGGGGATTGAGGGGGAGAAACATTGCCTGCGACAGGAAGCCCCATCGCAGCAAAACACATACCACGAGCGACTTGAATCGAGAAGTTGACTGAGAATATACAAGTTTGATGAATCAGGGTGGACAGAGAAAATCGCTTTACCTAGGAGGTGGACAGAGAACGCCGAAAGGAGTCTGCGTGATTGCCAACGAGCGAAACTTACCTAAAATGATAATGCTTGCCGTAGGGGAACGCCTTTTCCCAGGGCGACCCAGCAGGTCATACCCCCTAAATCGCACCACAAGGTATGAAAGAATAAAGGCATGGCACTGCATGTAGGAACGAGTTCGATCAGCGGGCGGCACCTTCGGCCTGAAAAAGAGCAGCACTGGAATCATCATAACCAGTTCCTGTTCCACAAGGCTTGCCAGAGCCAAGAATATGTTGATCTTTGACGGGATTCCACACGCCAGGTATGGCCCGTTTTGCGATTGCACAGACTGCGGCTGCATATACGCCATTGTGGTGGTCACAAATCCTCCGCATCGACCTTCTCATTCTCGGCATAGCCACGAGCTTACCACGAGCCTGGCTGTCATGCAAATTTCTTTGATCAGTAAATTTAGCACACGTGGCACGAGCGACCGGGGAGGAGGGGGGGAGGTTGAGACGCCCCCCCGTCAGGCCCCCTTTCGAACCAGGGAGGAGGGCTGAGGGGTTGAGACGGTCCCCCCACCGGAATTTGAACTGGAATAAAGCTGGAAGAGAGAGCGGGAGGACGGCGACGGCGGGTGCTGAACCCCAGGGCGACGACGACGACGACGACGCCGACGCCAACAACGACGTGACAACGAGCGGGGCGGCCAGTCGGGCGGGCGGGCAGAATACTAAATGTAAGCTGCACCCTGTGATAGGACCGAAGACTGCATATAACACCGAAGAGGCGGGTCGCGCGGGCGGGACATCAAATGCATCACGACAACGGCGACGCCGACGCCGTCGACGACGGCTCGATCCAGCTCTGAAAGAATCCTGCTGATAGGCCTGGATCTAAGTCGAATAGAACCCTGTAGGGCTGCATCCATACCTTAGTTTAGGTCCACCTCTAATGAGCTGCATCCTACAAATATTCGATCCTCACCTGTGATGGAATTCTACTGGATCCAACCCTGATAGAATCCTGCCGCTAGCGCTGGATCCAACTCTAAAAGCATCATACTAGGCTGATTAAGCTCCAATGCAATCCTACAAAGGCCCGATCCAGCTCTATTACAATCCTACTAAAGCTGGATCCACCGCGAATTGAATCCTACGAAGGGTTCGATCCAGCTCGAATCGAATCCTGCCATCAAGGCTGGATCCAGCTCTAATGCGATACAATATTTATATAATCATGCGATGAGCTGGATCCAGCTCTTATCTGCCACCGTGCCGCTGTGCACGGAGTGGGCGTGTCCTCAGGTTCTTTGCCGAATCCCTTAAGCCTCAGTCCTCACCCTTGAGGAGTCTTCAAGGGGCCCGGACCCCAAAATTACAAATCTGGACCTTCCGCGTCTTCTCAGGGCTTGTCGCGTGACCGTTTCGGGCCCAAGAGGGCCCAAACATGGGCCAAGAGGGCCCTAAGAGGCCCCCAAGACGGTCCAAGCGGGTCCGAGACACCTAAGGATCGCACCAAGACGCCCAAGATAGTCCCAAGACGGCACAAAAGACCTTCGAGACGCCCCAAGAGAGCCCCGAGAGCCTTCCCAAGAGGACTTCGAGAGGGTAAAGTCATTGATTTGCGATCGTTTGCTCGATGATTTTGGGATCCTCGAATTTTCGAGCTCCCGACGTTCCAAGGCGGCCCAAGAGGCCCCCAGGACCGCCCCAAACCCCCAGGAACGCCCCGACACGGCCCAAGAGGACTCCAAGAGCGCCCCAGAGGCGCCAAAGACGGCCCAAGACAGCCCCCCGAGAAGGGCCCAAGAGGGGGAACACGAATCGAAAATCCACGTTTTCCGCCCCAAGAGGCCCCGAGGAGGCTCCAAGAAGGCCCCAAGAGGCCCCCACGAGGCCCCAAGAGACCCCCAAGATACCCCGAAAACGCCCCCAAATGCGCCAAAACGGCCCCCAACAGGCCTCAAAGCGGCCCCCACGAGGCTCTCGAGAGGCCTCCCGCGACATCCCAACGAGCATCCAAGAGGCCTATGACCTACAACCCAGGCACGGTGGCGGGATGGACCGAATGCCATTAGATCCGCCGCCCTCTGTTGATTCATCACAGGGGTGCCTGGCGTGCTGGACGATTTCGGTTTTGGTTTTGGTTCTTTTCCAAAAGAACTCCCCCTGGGGCTCCGGCGCGTCCCGCCGGGGTCCCGGGAAGGACCTCAATCCGGAAAAAAATCCCCCATGAAGGCTCAAGATGGCGCCAAGATAGCCACGTTGGCCCAAGATGGCCTCCAAGATGGCCCAGGATGGCCTCCAAGTTCGCCCACGATGGTCCAAGATGACCTCCAAGACGGCCCAAGAGGGTCCACGACGGCCCAAGAGGCCCCCCAGAGGCCTCCAAGACGGCCCAAGAGGCCTCCAAGAGGTCCTCCAGGAGGGCCCGAATAGGCCAAAATCATTGATGTTCCTTAGGTTTGTGAAGGATTTTTGCATTCGCTTCTTCTCGGCTTTCCGACGACCCAAGACGGCCCAAGAGGCCCCCAAGCTCGCCCCCACAGCGCCCAAGAGGCCTCCAAGATGGCCTCAGAACTGCCCAAGAGGCCCCCAAGACAGCCCCAAGAGGGCACAAAGACGACCCAAGAGGCCTCCAAGACGCCCAAGATGGCTTCTAAGACGGCCCTGGAGCACCCCAAGAGGGCCCCAAGTCGGCCCAGAAAGGCCCCCCAAACGGCTTCCGACGGCGTCAAACGGGCAGGAGCCCACCAAGATGTCCGAAGTTGGCTCGAAGCTGGCCCAAGACGGCCCAAGAGGCCTCCAAGAGGGCCTCCAGGAAGGCCCAAAAAGGCCAAAAGCGCGGATGTTCCATAGGTTTTCGAAGGATTTTGACATTTGCTTCGTTTCGGCCTTCCGACGGCCCGATACAGCCCAAGAGCCCCCAAAGATCGCCCAAGGATCGCTCAAGAGGCCTCCAAGATGGCCCCTGCACGGCCCAAGAGGCCCCCAAGACGGCCCCAAGAGGCCCCCAAGACGGCCCAGGAGGCTTTAAGACGCCCAAGATGGCCTCCAAGACGGCCCTGGAGCATTCCAAGAGGGCCCCAAGTCGGCTCAGAGAGGCCCACCCATTCGGCTTCCGACGGCGTCAGGTGGGCCAGGGGCCCACCAAGACGGCCTAAGATGGCACTAAGATGGCCGAAGACGGCCCAAGACGGCCCAAGAGGCCTCCAAGAGGGCCTCCAGGAAGACCCGAAAAGGCCAAAATAATTGATTTCCCATGAATTGTTCAAGGATTGTGGCATTTGCATTTTTCCGGCCTTCCGACAACCCGAGACGGCCAAGTGCCCACAACGATCGCCCAAGAAGCCCAAGACGACCCCAAGAGGCCCCCAAGACGGCCGAAGAGGCCTCAAAGACGCTCAAGATGGCCTCCAAGATGGCCCAAGAGCCCTCCAAGACGTCCTCCAAGAAGGCCCGAAAGGATCGAGATGGCCTCCAGACGGCCAAGATGACCTTCAAGATGCTCACGTGTTCCCCGAAGGCTTTCCAAACCGATTCGGGGAACACACGGTCCGATAGCTTGGCAGGTCTGGCCTCAACGTTCGGCCACATAGGCGCTTCCACAAAGGCAGGGGGCGGCGGTGATTCGCCGTAGGCGTCTTCGATATAATCAGATTAGAGCTCGATCCAACTCTAAGAGGAATTTCCCATATCTTAGATGCAGCTCTAATAACATCCCATTAAGATTCGATCCAGCTGTAGTGTAAACCCATCATGGCTCGATCCAGCTTTAATGGCATCACACTAGTGCTCAGTCATCGTCGTCGTCGACGTCGTGGTCGTCGCCAACGTCGTCGTCGCCGTCGCGGATACCACTAGCTCGCAGTCGTCGTCGTCGTCGTCGTCGTCGTCGTCGTCGTCGTCGTCGTCGTCGTCGTCGTCGCCACTGTCGTGGTCGTGATCGTGGTGGTCATCGTCGTCGTCGTCGCCGGCGTCGTCGTCGCCCTTGCCGCCCCCCTCTCCCTTGTTCGGAGTGGGAGGCGCTTCCCCACACCCCCTACCCCCGCTTCGAACCAGAGGGGGGGGGGCGCTTGGTCTTAGTAGCCGCAGAAGGAGCTCTTTCGGACGGCCTCCTCCTCCTAGCCATCCTCGTCCTCGTCATTACTCCTCGACCCGTGCCTATGGTTAGGTCGGGCATGTCCTCCTACAGGCGGGTGTTAAAAGACAAGTTTTAAAAAGTAAAATGATCAAAAACAGCCACAAGAGTACGAACAATCGTCACCATACTATCGTGTTGCTACTCTCCTGTAAGGGGACATGCCCGACTTAAGCCTATGGGCATACCCGCCAGCAACAGCAGGGGCAGGCAACACCGCGAGGACCGCTCCGCACCCTCACAGTGGAGGCCCGTCCACAAGAAACCTCCCACAAGAAACCCAACCCTGAGGCCCAGGACGTCCCTTGATTTTTGGCGTGGGGACGCAGCGCTTTCCATCGCAAAACCATCGATACCGAAGAAACCCGGGGCACCCTGGAGGCAAGCAGGGTGCCTCTTGGCATGGGCCCCCGCTGTACCCGCCGGCAGCGGCAGGGGCAGGCAGCACCGCGAGGGCCGCTCCGCACCCGAAGGGCCGCGGCGCGAGCCCAGCGCCTGCGTCCCGCGGCACGTGGAGCCGCAGCGGCGGCCCGCCCGCCAGCGGGAGCAGCAGCTCGGCAGCCTCGGCCGGCGCCGCACGGGGCGGCGGGGCGCCCCCTTGATTTTCGGCGCTTCCTTTTGGCTTTCGGTGCCCTTTCGGTTTTCGGCGCCCCCTTGATTCTCGGCGCCCCTTTGGTCTTCGATGCCCCTTTGGTTTTCGTTGCTGCTTGTTGTTTTCGGCGCCGCTGTGGATTTCGGCGCCCTTTTGGTTGTCGGCACCCCTCTGGCTTTCGGCGCCTTTTTCGGTTTTCCGCGCTGGGTTTTCGGCGGAAGAGCTCGGGTCCTTCTGGGAGCCGAGCCGCGCATAGATGGCGGATTTCGGAAACCCTGCCCCCCAAACACGTTTTCATCTGAGGGGCGCATTGACTTACTTCCCGCCGCCTTCCGCCGAGCTTCCGCCGAGCTTCCGCCGGCTTCCGCCAGCGGCTGCCGCCGCCTTCCGCCGACCTTCCGCCCGCCGACCTTCCGCCGCCTTCCGCCGCGGAAGAGATGATAACTCCTTCGATCCTCGAAGGCAAGGCCATTTTTGGAACGCCTCATGTGCACTAATCTGGGCTCTGTCCCTGGGGACTACGTGTGGTGCATCATGTGCCGGCGGGTTCTGCGGGCGACAGGTGTCGAAGCAAAATGTGCACCGTGCTTGGGCCGCCAAGTCCAGAAGTGGGGTCAAGCATGACATAATATAGTAGACCTGGCTTCGGCCCCGACTAGCTGCCCCGGCACACGCCACGCAACCCGTAGCGTGCTGCCACGGAGCTCAGCACGCACACTGAAAACGCAGGTCTGGCGCTACACCTTCGCCAACACGAAGGGGCCCACATGTGCCGAGCGCCAACACGCAGCGAGCTCAACCCAGACGTTGCAACACGGTCCGCGCTGCGTTGCAACACGGGCGTACCAGGGCAGCTCTGGTCGCGTCACCATCGGCGACGTGGCCGCCATCCCAGACATGCTTTCGTCGCGAGAGAGCCACGACGGGAAGCTGGGGGGCAGTCTTCGGATCAAGACGTCGGCTGCGTGATCTCGTCGCATCGCCGTCGGCGTCGCTGTCGCCGTCGGCGTCTCTGCCGCCGTCGTCGCTGCCGCGCCGTCGCCGCCATGGTCGGCCGGTCCGCTGGAGAGACGCCCCTGCCCACGCGGCGGGAGGACCTGCCTGCCCAGGCCCAGAGGGGGGAGGGAAGGGGTGGGAGGAGGAGGTCTTGCATGGCCTCCTCGTCCACATCCTCTCCCTCACCATAATCACATAGATTCACTCTCTTCCTGGTCATCCTCATCATCATGATTATGATTCCCTCTCGATGAAAAGCCCACAGCCGAAGGCTGCACAACGCTCCACAACAAAGCCATGCCGCAGCGTGACACGGAGGCGCGCCAGAGCCAAGGAAGAACGTCGCCCCCACCAATCAAAGCAACAGGCTGTGAGAGCTCCACCGGGGCTCTGTCTGGTGAACAAAATAATCACTCTCATCATCATCATCATCATCATCATCATCATCATCATCATCATCATCACCATCATCATCAGCAGCATCAGCATCAGCATCAGCATCAGCATCAGCATCATCATCATCATCATCATCATCATCATCATCATCACCATCATCATCTTCAGCATCGTCGTCATCACCTTCATCAGTACCATCACCACCATAACCATCACTACCATCACCCCCAAAACCATCATCGCCATCACCAGCCTCAACATCCCCCTGAGCCTTCCCAGCCTCGACCACTACGGCGACGACGATGACGCCGACGCCGACCCTCGGAGCGGGCTAGTTGAGACAACGCCAGCTCAACATCGGTCCCTGGACCCCTCCCGGGGTCCAAACGCACCAGTTGTCCGAGCTGCGTCCAGCTGCGGCGACGAGGGGGCCCCCGAAGGCCAGCCTCTGTTGTCTTGACTCGCATTCCTGTGATCAGGCCTGGGAGCACAAGGCCGATGCGGCGAGGGGCCCGCAGACCCTGAGAACCTACGTGGCGAAACACTTGCAACATGGTGAAAAATCAGGACCAGAGCCCTCGACCTCATAGTCCTGCACCATCTCTCGAGCCAAATCGATGTGTGAGGGACAGGGGGGCCGAAACCGGACGAAAACGCCCGGCGCACGCCGGAATCCCATGCTTTACTGAGTTGGGCCACCGCCGAGTCCGCGACAGCCCGCCGCCGATCCGCCGCCGCCGATCGGCCGCCGCTGCCGACCGGCCCCGCGCCGAGGAGCGCGGCCGCCGAGGCCCGCGCCATCGCGCGCCCGCGCCCGCGCGCGCGCGGCAGGGCCGCGCCGGCATCCGGCGGCCGCCGAGGTCGAAAGGACGACGGCGGCGGCGACGGCGGCGTCGCGCGCCGACGGCAACGGCGAGTTTGGGAGCGCGGGAGAGCTCGGAACTCGGAACTCGGAGGTCCGGGAAAGAGGCCAGAGGGCATCGTTGCCAGGGGTGTGCACTACGCTGAAGACGGCGCGGGAGAGAAGGGAGAGGAGGAGGAGGAGGAGGAGGAGGAGGAGGAGAAGCTAGGCGCGCTCGCGCCGTACCTGACATCAGACCCCTCCCGCCCATCCCTTGCCATGGGGTTGTTTCTTCGCTGTCCGCGGAGGCGTGCCAGAGCGGGCCAGGAATTCCCCCCAAAAAGACCCCATCGTGTCTTGTGCAATCGGAATAAGAGAGCTGCGCACATTCGGTGGAGGAGGCAGTGGCGGATGAACGGGAGGAAAAATAGGAGTAGGAGGAGGAGGAGGAGGAGAAGGAGGCTGAGGGGGAGGAGGGAGGAGGAGGAGGATGAGGAGGACGACGAGAACGAACAGCAGAAGCAGCAGAGAGCGGGAGGGGAGGGAGCGGGAGGAGCAGGAGGGCCAGGAGAAGGCGGAGGAGGGGAAAAAAGAGGGCGGCGACGACGATCCAGAAGGAGCAAGACCCGCGACAGGGGCCCGCGCTGGGGATATAGAGTACCGTTCTGAGCGACGGGGGCAGGGCGCCGATCCTAAGATGAGGCACGCGCGGCAGCGACGCTGCGCGAGCCGCTCCGTCTGGAACGCCCTCCGCCACTCGGTCACGAGCGGCAAAGATGTCTGCGGCCGCGCCGTCGCGGTCTGGACTCTGGGGCGCGATCCCGCGGGTACGGGGCCGCACCCGAAGGTATCTTGCGGGGCCTCCGCGATAGAAAACGCCGCAGATTATCCGCGGGGCTGCGGCCCAGAGGCCCCGCCCGCGAGGCCGCGGATACGGATGTGTGTGTGTGTGTGTGTGAGTGATTGCGTGATTGTGTGATTGCGTGATTGCGTGATTGCGTGATTGCGTGATTGTGTGATTTGATTGTGTGTGTGCTTTGCCCCTGACGCTGCGCGAGCCGCTCCGTCTGGAACGGGACGCACGAGGACATCCTGACATACGAGTACTGCAATCAGAGTTCCGATCCAAAACATTATCGTCTAAGGAATATGGGAAAGCTTCCCAGACGTGTCTTAAGGCAAAGCTGGGCCAATGCCTGCCGTTACCGCTGGAGGGGGCGAGCGTGCCCAAGAAACTGGGCCACTTGTCCGGCAAGCTGGTTAAGCAGCGCTGGCCCAGCTTTTCGGGGGGGAGGTGTCTTGATCAGATGCTCGACGATGTGTGTATATACATATATACATATATATACATATATATATATATATACATATATATATTCCGCCTTGGAGGCGTGCGTCCGACCCCCAACCCGTAGTATTTCGTTTCCCGAGCGGTATGGCCAGAAAGCGCCCAGCACGGAGCGCATACCATAAGATTTCTCGGCGCGCGTCGCCCCTGGGGGGGGGGGGGGGGCGATGCACACATGGTATGAGTATGCTGGGGTGACGCCGATGCAACTCTCCCCGCCTTCAGGGAGGCTCCCCACAGGGCTGCCGACCCGCCTCGTTCGTGTGGACCTCGCGCCTGGCGCCTCTAGGCGACACGGGCCCCCCGGCCCCCGACACCGCGCGAACCGATCGGTCGTGAGCGGCCTCCGCCCCCAAGGGGGGGTCCCCGGGCGGCTGCCGACCCCCCCTTCCGCCCGTGCGGACTGCGCGCCGTCGGCAGCGCGATCGACCCCTGAGCGCCCATGCGCCGGCGTCGCCGACGCGTCGGCCGCGGCGCGCACCTGGCGTGCGCTCACAGCCCCCCGCGCTCGCACGGGGCAGGCGCGCGGGAACGAGCCGCGGCGGGGTCCATGATCTGGGGCGCCAGCGACAGCGTCCCGAACACCTCGCGGGGCGGCTCTCGGCGCACGCGCCCAGCGGACCACCGGAGGAAGAAGGACACAGACGGCATCAGTGCGCCACCACCGCTGCCTGGCCAGGGCCATCCTGTGGCATGGTGCGTACGCCCTCCAGGCCGTCTATACGCCACCCTCGGGACAAAGATGGCCCTGGCCAGGCACGGTGGTGGTGGTGCATAGATGCCACCGGCGGAGAAAGAGAGAGAGAGAGAGGAGGAGGTTGGCGGCGCGCAGAGGGGGTGGGGGGAGGGGGAAAGGTTCCTTAGAAGGAGGCTGCTCCTGGGAAGGCGCCAGCCCTACATCTAGACAGCAGAAAATATGACCAAGAAAATCATCATTTAAGAGACCTGGGCCAGCTTCCCGAAGTTTCTCCCAACGAACCTGGGCCTCCTTTGCTTGTCCGCGCTGGAGGATACAAACGTGCTGAAGTAACTGGCCCAGCTTTCCTGCAATTTTGTTTTAACTGAAAAACCTAGGCCCAACCTTTCGGGAGGAGGTTTCTGAATCAGATGCTCGACCGTGGGTAAGGCCCGCGCCGTCAATGAAGCAGGGGTGCTTCTAACTAAGAAGCATTCCCCACTCCCCCATACCCCCCTCTTCGCGTGGCCGAGGAGGGAGGACCGAGCATCGAGGTCTTTGATTGTCTCCTGCGCACTCTGGAGATCGGGGGGCCTCCGCAGGCTGACTGTCCACTCTGGAGGCTGGGGGAGAGGTGGAAGGAGGGAGGGAGGGAGGATAAGCTCCTCCTCCTACTTCTCCTCCGCCTCCTCCTCTTCCTCCTCCTTCCTCCT